GAGTCTGGTGGGTGATCAGTCAAGTACAATAGTTCTAAATGGATAAAGAAAATCTGGTTTGGTCGGGAAGTCCTACAGAAGCCTTCGACCTTCCCGCCCCCTTACCAATAAAACTTACCAGAGCTCGGTTCTCTATTTCCCCCACCCCCCTCCCACCGCCACAGTACAGTTTTGTCTCTTCATGACTTATGAAGTCACTTTTTTCTTCCAGTGGTGCTGTTGTTCATCATTGGAAGGTGTCCTCATAGAAAAATATGACGATTTTAATGACAATAAATATTCTCTACAAATCATGCACCCCGCCGCTTTTACTCAAAATCTGGCACAAAACAGCTCGGTAGGCCCATCAATGGTGTTCAGCGAAGCGCATTGCATCTGCGAAGATCTGCGATTTCCTGCAATAAAGTGGTTTACTTGACACATCGGAGGCTTTGAAAAACTTTACAGACTTACTTTGTCGACTCCTGTAATGAACATGAAGTAGCAGAAGGAGCCAGAGAAAAAGGAAAATGCCCGTAAGCCCTTCCCTTCCCACCCGTCTCAAGCAGAACCGCCCCATCACTTGCCTGTACAGTTGTTTACGGTGTGAGCAGTGCAAGTCATGGCAATGGAAAATTTCGTCACAGTTTGACGACGGGGGGCATTGCACTTTCGCAGCTTCACCACTTACGGTTTGCAAGTCTCACCATGGTGAAACTCGTGAACTCTTTAAAGCTGGGGTAAACTCGTTGAGGCACCATGGTAAAACCAGAAAATCCTTCAATCGCACGAAAGTAAACCTTTACATGGAAAGTAGCAAAAGTCCAACTCTCTACCCCCCTTAAACCGGACTGCCCCGGGAATTTCTCCTCAATGTTGTTTTCCAATATACATCAAGCGGAGAGAAGTGATCTGACGTCCAATCAAGTAGCAGAAATAGTTGGATCAGATATCGCCTAGGATTTGGCAACCCTAGGGGAGATTAGGACTTCCCGACTTCCGTCAAGGAATCCTCAGCGTATGGCGCATTCTGTGATGCCTAGCCATCATTGCGCTACCATTTGACTGATTCGAAGTAGTGGGAGGTTAAGTTGGTCTGAGCTTGATACAATTCGAGGTATGACAAAAGCCCGCGACAGGATGTTTCCATTCTTCAGCCCCTTCTCATTTTTCTCAATTTCAGGTCAAAATATGGTTCCAAAACAGACGAATGAAGCACAAGAAGGAGAGCAAAGGCGAAGGAACCGGTGAGCATGAAAGCGATGAGTCCACCCAAGACGATCAACAGAACTCCTGAGTCTGAGCCTCCTAGCTGAACCATCTTTTTTTTCCCGAGGTCCCTCTTTTCTGTAGAGGTCGCAAGAAATATGCTTTGTCTCTTTGTCATTTGCCATATTCGTACATACATACATACATGCATTTACATTTCCACTTTCATCAGAAATCGCTAATACATACATTTTTGATACATTTCATTTGATTCCGATGATCAATCGATATGTTCGGCTCTCTCGCTCTGGAATATTCTTGTAATTTATCTCCAACGCACGGGTTTCTATGCGCTAGAGCTCTTCTTTCTTCTCGCACTACTGTGAGTTTAATACGACATCCCGATCTCTTCTAGTTATAGCGAAGCTCCCATACATATGACCCCGCTGCTTTCCCTGCAGGGGTCATTTTGAATGGGAGTTCCGCGAATTTGTGTCCCAGTGTAATGTGTTGTTCATATATATGTTTTAAATGAATGAATCTATATGGAATTTTGTAGTGTACTCGGTGATGTGAAGGTTCTGAGCCGAATACCTGAATCTCCCTGAGTCAAAAATGCCTAACCATAAGTAGGTGGTTTGTGTCCACCCTATGGGTCTGTTTTTTCTGACACTGCATAATTTTTCGAAAATATCAGTAAAAGCATGAGAGAGCAAGGGTCCCGAGATCTGTAGACTTCATTGTGAGGGGTGATTTCTATCTTTTAATGACTTCTGCTATCACATCCGAGATGCTGAACATTGCCCGGCTGCGATTCGGGTTTGTGGCACACGCGAAGGCCGGAGAAGCCAAATATGGTTATGGTCCCCGCAAACGATAGGGCATGTGAAGGGCGTGAGTGGAGCGCAGCCAGATTAGCGCTTTCCGCGCCATTTGCTGAAACTCAGGATGGCAGCATTGGTCGAAAAACCCGCCTTGGCAGCGCTCCAATCCACACCCCGCCACCGTCCTAGTTTTCGCAGTGATCATGGTGTTAGTTGTGGAATCTACCTTCATACCACAACATCCAAATCCATAGCAATTTGTTGGGACTGAGTGCCACAGAGAGCATCCGGAGAGGATAGAAACGGTTGGTTTACCTCGAACTGCTCCGCGACTTCTGCACAGACCACCGAGTAGATGCGGTGTTTGATTTACATCCTCTCGACCCCCTCCCAATTAGTATGCTATGAATTCAAACATTAGAGTAGTATCATATCGATAGACGGGAGGTGCCATCTACCAATGGGGCGAAGGAGCACAATCGTACTGTTATGCACAGCTTGGGCTTGCATGGGCCTAATGTGCCACTTCCGCGCTCTGCTGAAGACCTGAACTTTACTATTCGAGGAGTATGCCCTGTAGCCGATGCAGACCTTGTCAAGTTTCACTAAAAAGGGAAGTACAAGAGTGCTGAATAATGAGCAAAAGTTCTCGCTTCGGGCAGCACTCGAACCGCGCCCGGCGCTTGCGGGACGAGTGTGCTATCGGAAAGTGGGCACAGTTCGGCGACGAGGGGCATTTTGCGCTTTCGCTGCTTCACGGCTTACGCTTCACATGTCTCCCTCTGGTGAAAAACCTGCTAACTTTTGCAAAGCTGGAGCAAGCTGTCATCTCATGTCAACTCTTCTGAGCTCACGAAATGGCTTTCTAGCTAGGTCTACGTCGGTGGAGAGTAGCAAATTACAAAAGTACACCCTCCCCCCCCCCCCCCGTTGCCGAACTGCACCGATAGTTGTTCTCCGAGACGCATTCGGAAAATGGGCCGGAGCAAACATGCCTCAAGCTTTGTGAACATGAAATTGGAAGTTTCCGATGTGCCAAAATCGAGGCTCGCAATATTTTGCCAACAGAGGGTCACGCGAGGTCAGCCCATACAGCCGCCAAACCACGAACAGCCTGCCCGGCGACGCGTTGTGACCCTTGCGATCGTAAAGACGACGGCGATGTTCGCACTGTTAACTACGTTGTAAATCATCCAGGGCGGCTCAAAATTAGAGGGTTTTGTGAAGGCAGAGAGTCGGCTTATCGGCGACGTCCGATAGAGTCCGACTCAGAAGATTCCGACGTATCACTCGTTTCACCGGCTTCGGCAGGGGAATACAGTATGTGGCAATGATAACTCAGTGATTAGCTATCTTATCGGGATGAGACCCATTCATCACCCAGCAAGCTTGCGAATCGGCCAATGAGTGCTCAGGTTGGTAATTTTGGTTTTTGCAGATTTTCGTAGAAGGTTCATGCAGTTCCGGTGAGGGCAGGCACTTCCTTATCTGAGAGCCTCCGCTGGACTAAGATAAATTCTTTACTAAGCTTTAAACTTGAAACGATGTGGACAATAAGGGGAGATCCTAGCCATAAGGGAACTGCTTGGACCTTTTAAATAGTACCGCTTGATTGTTCAAAGGGAAATAGGACGTCATGAATTCTGCTTTCTCTTGGAATCTTACTGTGTAATATGGCGGTCTATCAAAGCCGCCGAGCAATTCTCTTTTTCAAGTCAGGGAAGTGTTCAGGCAGTTACATAGAAGATGACTATGGAGATAATAAGCTTTTGCAAAATAAGATGGCCCATAAATTTCGAGTAGACAATGCTCCTACTAATCCTATTGCTGCTCTTATTTACACTCTTGAGAAATCGGATTAATTCTCGGATTTAGGATTACTACGGACTTGTTCGCTCGGACTCTGCAGAGACCATTCCGTGCTACTTCGAAGATGACATCACTTTACATGAAATGGAAAAGCTCAAGGTGAAGTGATTTACAATAACAACTTTGGTTTCTCCAATTTGAATTGTGCTACTGCACATGCTGGGTGGTCCCGAAAGTCCTTGATTATATTGGATGCCTTGGATATAACGACTATTCCACGAAAATCAAATTAAATAACCGTTCCAAGTTATACTTTTTCTGGGACCGCTCAGATTCTAGCACAATTATTTTTGTTTTGTTTCATCTCAGCATATGTTCAAATTACTTTTCTTTGTGGCTGTAGCAAAATAAAGGAATAAACATGGACATTTTCAGTGTGCAAAATATTCTCACTAGAAAAAAAGGGGGAAACGGCTGACCCGTCGGAAAATACATAAGGGGTTCGAACAGGTTCTGCTGTGACTAAACGAGCGGTGTATGGGCGTTTCGGGAATTTTCGCTTGGGCAAGTTTGTTTTTGAGAACAGTCGGTCCTCTAGAAGGATCTTCATTGGTTATTGTGACCAAATTAAAACCTTGGGAGGACGAAGGATAAAGTCTTCGCCGTTGATCAATCCCTTTGTGGGATGCGGCACGCATTCTACTTCCATTCAGAATCGTAGTGGCTTATTGAATGCGATGGTTTGTGCGGGCCAGCCGGTGTTAAAGTCAGTATTCTTATCTTCCCAAACAAATATTGTGTCAATCTACTGTCCTCTGAGGGTAGGAGGCTTGGTTCGCCTGGGCGGGAGCCGATCCGGTCCCCGCACCGTACGTGTAGTAAGCGTGTCACTTGTGTCACTTGACACT